GATTTTAAAATTGTGATCAGACATAGACAGAATTTGTTTGTGAACTTCTTTCAGACCTCTGCGAGCTGATGAAGTGTTGCCTGTGAGAACCCACCATATTGTAACAGATGGTTTAAAGATTTCAGAAGAAGGTACAGGAGAAGAAAAGACCAAAAAGAAAAAGAAAGATAGAGATAGGAAAGGAAAAGAGAAGGAAAAGAAGGGAAAGGTATGCATGCTTTGTATTCTCATTATATAATCAGATATTATTTGCTAGCTTGCACCGACATCCTACATGATCTGGACATGGAGCAGAATTAGCTCATAAACAGCATCCCCCAAAAGCTGGGTTATTTTGGCCATGTTAAGTGTCATGGTGGTCTGGAGAGAATGGCGATGGAGGGTACTGTTTCTGGAAAATGAGGCAGAGGGACATGAACGTCGATACAGGACATTGAAGATGCATTGGGTATATAAAGCACATGGTGCTCGAGAACGAGAAACATGCCATGACGTTCTGCAAAGTACCTGCTGATTGACGATGATGAGCTTGCACCATTTAAATGTCTCTCTTATTCAAGTAAACGTAAAGGATCCTTTTACTTTCCCATACCGTAACAGAGGGTCTGGCCGGTTCACTACACTCAGAGGAAAAGCAGGACGGACATATAACCAGATTGTGACCGGTACCATCAGTATTGGAACTCTGTGGTGACTGCTGAAGATAAGGACGGAGTACACATGGGAATGCCCTGAGTGTTGTGATGTTAATTCTTAACTCAACTGATTCCATACCATAAAAGTAAAGGACCCTTTTCCGTGCCTTCAGATGTATTGGGCATATAGGGTTAGACCTATATTTTATAAGCCAATCAGCACTTGGTGGGCGATGTGGTCAGCATCACACCAGTGCCTGTAGCGTAAAAATCCATAGCTCGAACTCCTAGTCTACTGAGAAGACAAGTAGGGATGAACTCCTCTGCTTCTTTGATGACATCATCACCCCCAAAACAAAACAAAAAATTACAGTTGCTAAATGTTTCAGTCAGAAAAGGTTTAATTGATTAATTGTACATGAAGGAAAGTAATCACATAATGCAAACACAGAAAATAATTAACTAATTTCCTTCCTTTTGACCTTTATTGAAAGTGCTTTCCATCACTTTGCCAAAAAGAGCAGTGTGATTTAATTAAATAAATTAAATAACATTACAGTAATATCTATAGAAAAGAAATAGGTAAATTTAATCATACTCCGTGTGTCTATGCAGTTGCAGTCAGTATCAAAGTTGTCATAGAGGTGTACTGGGCACTGTGCAAAGATATGTCAGCCAAAGCCCCTACAACTGGTAAAACATCTTTCTCAGGGCCAGAGGTTTATAAACAAGTTACATATATTTAAATTATAATGTTATTTCACTTTTAACCTATGCCAGTGACAGTTTAAGAAACACTTAAGACATGGAATGACAATTAAGTGCATTCAAAAACAAATGTCTAAGGAAAATGATGAATATTAATTGAGATGAATTCAAGAAAGATACAGAAATAAGAGAAAAATCTGGACAGCCGCAACAGTTACAAGAAAAATATTTGACTTATTATGACGAAGTGTGGATAGAGAACACTAAACAGTCACTGAAATGGGACCCCTTCCTCCCCACTCCCAAAAGAATAAAGGAAATGAGGATGACAAAGAGAAATCCTAAAATGAAGATTTTTTTTTAAAGGCTACAGGTACGGGTATGGATTCCTTCCATGATGCTGATATTATTGCACAATATACAACAGAATGGAAGACTAGACTGGGAGTCCTGTGGGACATGTATCGGCATATTGATGGAGAAAGACTGCTTCCTCCAGAAAAAGTTGCTGTGTTATATGATTTTTGTTCTGTTCGAAAGAAAATTATAAAAGGAAATAAGTGTGGAGACTGCAGTGACGTTTGGAATGTTAATTATGATATGGCACGGAATGGCAAGATGAAAATTCAAGGTTCAGCACACCACATCATCCGTGATGTGCTACAGTACCACTGCACTTCTTTGGTGAACGTCACAAGCGGGGCGGCCATCTCTAAACTGTCATTATGAGTTCACTGTTTTCCTCAGCCAGCAGCTTTCCTACATGAGGCCTTCAGCAGCTACATTTGACTCTGGGGTCAGTATTCAGTGTACTTGAGCCAGTCTTGAACAGTATGTCAGAGAAGTCACACCGTTCTGAAACTTCTTACTACTTTATCTTTATAAACTGGCAAATGTTGTGCCTCTCCCATCTCAGTTAAAAAACTAATGATGGTTTCATTGCCTTTGTATCGCTTTTGTTAATAGAAGGACAAGAAAAAGCGCAAGAAGTCAGAAAACAAGGATGATGTGCCTACTCTTCTCATAGCTGAGTCTACTGAAGTTCCAACTGTTCCAGAAAGCTCGGCAGTCACAATAGAAGAAAGCAAAGATAAAGATCAGAATGAACTCACCAAACAGGTACTTTTTTTTTTTTAAATTAAAATTTACACAACATCATCACAGAGTTCAATATGATACATGTGCTGTGTTTGCCAGGCCTGCAGCCAAATGCATCCTCTGTTGACAGGTATCAGGGGGTTTCAAGTAAAAACCTTAAAAGCTATCTTTAAACTGTGATTATGATGTCACCATGTTCATCTGCATCGTGGTATCACTTGCTTAACATTCTTGACAACCTTAGCATCAGTATTGCCCAGTTACGAGACAGTAGCTTGGTTATTGTAAATTCTCTTACCCTTTTAGGGATTTCATTTTAAGACACATTGTATCAGAGAATCAAATGGTTCGGTCAGATGGAACAAAGCCAGTCAGCGTCTAGAGCGTAGTGTGTACTACATGAGAACAGCAGGCTACAAGCCAAAAGGCTGACCAAGAAAGAGATAGGTGGAGAGAGTAAAAGAGGCATCAGAGAAACACAGTATGACATTAACACAGCTGCGCAACTAGCAGAAGACAGGAAACTACGTCTAACTGCACCATGTGACGCTTTACGGCATAAGCAGTGGGTCGAAAGAAGAATAGTCAGAAGCCCCTCAGTACAAGTGGCTAGACCTGATCTGCTGGCCCAGAGTTGTTGAGTTTGAATATGCATCTGGGCACATTTTTTTAGTTGAGCTTGGATCCCAGGTTAACCCAGCCTTCAATGGGTACAAGATAATGTCATGGGAAGTAAAGGCGGCCGGCATGATGTTGGTCACATCTCCCGCTGATTGGTCTAAGCCAGTGGTCCCCACCCCCCCCCCCCCCTTTTTTTTTTTTGAGTATATGGCAAGATTTCCACGCCTCATCCCCTCCCCCAATGTGATTAAAAAGAGGACAAAAAGAAAATGTCTAAGCACTGTTAACAAGAGCTTGGAGAAAAACGCAATAATAATTCAAAGGGTCAAATAACAAAAAGAAACAAACACCAACAACTGGTAATTTCATGTCTAAATATCAGTGTGATGGTTGACACTGTTTTGTCTTGATGATGTTGGACAAGGAAAATCGCAGATCACTCTCCATATCATGCTGGCAATGTTATTTTGTTTTCATTACTGTTAAAGCTAACATCCCTGATTATTATAAGTACAAATGCACTCAATTTCAGAATTGCTTGACGCACCCCATGAAACCCTCCCCCCCCCCCCCCCCCCCCCCCCCCCTTTTTTTTCCACATTGGAGACCATATGAGAATGGGATCATTATCTATATTACTGTTTGGTTTTTCTCAGTGTGTATAGTTTAAGATTTGAATTACAGTAATTTCTTGTCATCACCTGCCTGTCAGATCTAAGGCCTTGAGTTCAAATCTCATTGAAGCGAATATTTTTTTCCCTTCAAAATCACCCTTGTCTGCCAGGACCACCCAGCCTAAAATTGGTACCAGGCAGTGTCCTGGGAAGTAAAGGTGGCTGGCATGATGTTGATTGGCTTCATCACTGACTGAGTGCTGATTGGTCTGAAACAAATATGAGTCAAGCATCATACACCCAATGCTCTAATTAAAACTGCCAGTTACTGCCTGTATTTACAACTTTTGCTTGAGGGTGGGGGGCTTGAGCCTATGGATTTAGGGCCGCATTGCTAGTGCTGTTACCATGTACTGCAAATTAGGATTTTATTTTTGCTCGTGACATTTAAAAAAAAAAAGTCTATAACCTTACTGAGATTCGAACCTTGGTTTCTCCACAGGAGAGCCTAGTGTTCTTAACTGTTTGGTCAGGCGCTCCTCTGTCTGAGGATTTAGGGCCGCATTGCTAGTGCTGTTACCATGTACTGCAAATTAGGATTTTATTTTTGCTCCTGACATTTAAAAAAAAAAAGTCTATTACCTTACTGAGATTCGAACCTTGGTTTCTCCACAGGAGAGCCTAGTGTTCTAAACTGTTCGGCCACTGCTATGCAAAGAGTCCTTCACCTTTATTTAAAATCCCTCGTCATATCATATCTTTAGTGGAAGCAGAAATGAATTTGCCAAGAGTTAATCAGTAAAAGTAAAATACCCTTTTTTTTCAACACCTTCAGGCATATTCAACATGTCGGGCTAGACCTGTATTTTACAGACCAATGGACACTCGGTGGGTGATGTGGTCAACATCACGCCGACAGTCTTTACTTCCCAGGACTGTATCTGGTTTTTTTCAAAAATGGCCTTGGCTCCCAGGTTAACCCGGTCTTGAGTGGGTACCGGGTGCAGTCTGGGGAAGTAAAGGCGGCTGTCATGATGCCGACCACATCACCCATCTTATGCCGATGGTCTATATAAAAAATATAGGTCTAGCCCTGTATGCACTACACACCTAAAGGTGTGGGAAAAGGGTCTTTTTTTTGGTGGGGGGGGGGGGGGGGGGTTAACTGTACCTGTACTTAGTTAAGGCTGGGTGGACCTGGGAGCCAAGTTTTTTTTTTTGGTGTGTAAAGTCAGGCTCCCCAGGTCCTTGAAACCATGACCTTCCAATCCTCGGCCAACAGTGTCAGGTGTAAATAAACCTGTAACTGACTTTCTTCTCCTAGGCAAACGATGATCTCTCCTTCTGGCTATCCAATGAGACGACTGTGACCAAATCCAGTCAGGCACAGGAAGAAGGAAGCACTGTTGTGATGAATGGTCCGTCACAGGTGTCACCACCACCTGTGGTGTCATCTGCTGCCTCCAGACCAAAGATCACTGTTGAAAATATTGTACTTACCTCCGATGAAGATGAGCATGAAGAGGTCAGTAACAAAATAGCATTGAGAATTGATTGCTGTTATCCTAATTTGATCACGGACAACATTTTATATGCAATTATTATTGAAATTGTATTTTAAAATATTTTTTTTTCTTAGTTATCATTTTTACTAATATAGATTTTTGGGGTAATGTTTGTTTACATTATTAATTATTTTTAATTCTGTAACGGTTTTAAAGAAAAGTGCTCAAAACTCTGTGGATAGCCAAAATGAGTAATTTAGTCATTTTGAAAGAAACTAACATCTAAAGACAACTTATTACAAACATCAGAAAGAACCAGTCATCATTTTTTTGGTTTTGCTTTTGGGAAAGAAAGAAACTAAGCCACTGGAAAGATTTGTAATAACAGAGATAGAGGAAGACAAGGCAAAAAGATAGAGGAGTCTCAGCACATGAGTGATACATGCTGTTGAAGATCACAGGTTGTGGAGAGGCTTGATCACCATGCCAGTTTTCAAGGGTGATGATAGTAATAAACAAAAGATGTGGGAATTTGCATTCTGGGATTCACTCTTTGGGTATTTGCCGGTGCTACTGAGTTCCTTGTACTGTGTTAGGAAGCATCTAATGTGATCTTTCTGTTTCTTTTTTTTCCCCCCTAGTGTGATAACTAGATATCTCACTAATGAAAGTATTCTTGTGCAGTAAAGGTGACCACAAATAAAACAGTGTTACCATGCAGATTAATCATGATTCAAGTACAACTTGTATTCTCTAGTATGCAAGTTACCATAATTAGCAGATTTTTAGGCTGCCAGATGGACCCAGATTATAATGGGAAGTAAAGGTGACCAGACCACTGTGTTGGTAAAGACAACACAAATTGCAGACTATGGCATTGGTGAGTCACAGCAGTAACCACTAAATTATCAGGTCAGAACATCAACCACTAAATTATTAACCCTTTCACCCCAATAACACTTTTTAAACAAATTCCTCTAAAGATGTGAAAGGAGTAAACAATAAACTTGAGCAGAATGAAGTATTGAATGGAAAAAAATACCAGCCACAGTAGTGGTAGGGAGTTGCCGTTGCATAGTGGCTAGAGGCTCACGTGTGGATCGTAAGGTTGTGGGTTCGCTTCCTGGTAGAGCCTGACTTTTTTCGAAAATGACATTGACTCCCAGGCTGACCCAGTCTTGAGTGGGTACCGGGTGCAGTCCCAGTAAGTGAATGCAGCAGGGCTGATGTTGACTACAACACTCATCCTGTGCCGATTAGTCAATAAAAATATAGGTCTAGCCCTATATTCCCTTTAAGCCTAAAGGATGGAAAAAGGAGGGACCATTACTTTTTTTTTTTCACTTTACTTGCAGTAATGGTAAGTCAGAACATCAACCACAATAATATTTAGTTCGGTTTTGGTTTTATAAAACAGATCAACATCATGGCACAAGGGTAGTAACCCATAAGAGCTACGTTCTATTTCTAACTCAAGCCTGTGTCCGCAGAATCCCAACGCAATGCAAAAACTCTGTAGTACCGGCGAGGATCCTGAAATCCTTAGGGTAGATTTTTAACTCCTATTTTCAGTTTCCAACTGCTAAGGGAATTTGTACATGTGCAACAATACACACAGGTGTCTGATCCTACTACCCAAAGACCAGGGAAAATTACTAGAAGTTCATATGAAAACATCCCAGCCTTCACCGCAGCCTGAACCCGGGACCTCCAGCACTCGAGAAGGATACCATACCTCAAGACCACTCAGCCCCCCAATAATGGTAAATTAGAACACAAGCTACAAAAATGGTAACTGAGAATATTAACAACTGTAATGATAAGTTTGAGTAATTACCAAAGTAACAGCTGTGCTGGTGAATTATAATTGCTAACAACTATGATACTAACTCTATTTGAAAATATGATAGATTCATGTAAAAGATTAGACATTTTATATATTTAACTTCTGCTTTTTTCATTACTAGAAATCTAAAAAGAAAAAGGACAAAAAGTCCAAAAAGGAAAAGGGAAGAGATAAGAAGGAGAAAAAGAAAGAAAAGAAGAAACTGAAAGAAAAACGCCTTGAATATGAGGAAGCAGAAGGAATCACAACACCCTCTAAAGAAGCACTTGCTCTGTCTGAACAGGCCACACCCACTGCAGAATCAGAACTGCTGGTAGGCACTTATTAGGTTTACATGTTTGTAAAACTACTGTGTTAATTTCACAACCTGGGATAATTACTGCTGATTGCAGAGCAAGGGATAATTACTGTTAATTGCAGAGCATGGGAAAATTACTGTTAATTGCAGAGCATGGGATAATTACTGCTGATTGCAGAGCAAGGGATAATTGCTGTTAATTGCAGAGCATGGGATAATTACTGGTAATTGCAGAGCATGGGAAAATTACTGGTAATTGCAGAGCATGGGATAATTGCTGTTAATTGCAGAGCATGGGATAATTACTGTTAATTGCAGAGCATGGGATAATTACTGCTGATTGCAGAGCAAGGGATAATTACTGCTGATTGCAGAGCAAGGGATAATTACTGTCAATTGCAGAGCATGGGACAATTACTGGTAATTGCAGAGCATGGGGAAAATTACTGTTAATTGCAGAGCATGGGATAATTATTGTTATTGCACAGCATGGGATAATTATTGTTATTGCACAGCATGGGATCATTATTGTTATTGCAGAGCATGGGAAAATTACTGACAATTGCAGAGCATGGGGAAAATTACTGTTAATTGCAGAGCATGGGATCATTACTGTTAATTGCAGAGCATCGGATGATTACTGTTAATTGCAGAGCATGGGATACTGTTAATTACATTGGATGTTACTGTTAATTGCAGAGCATAGGGATTACTGTTAATTGCAGAGCATGGGTACTAATTGCAGAGCATGGGATAATTACTGTTAATTGCAGAGCATTGCAGAGCATGGGGAAAATTACTGGATTATTGTTATTTACTGTTAATTGCAGAGCATCGGATGATTACTGTTAATTGCAGAGCATGGGATAATTACTGTTAATTGCAGAGCATTGGATGATTACTGTTAATTGCAGAGCATAGGATGATTACTGTTAATTGCAGAGCATGGGATCATTACTGTTAATTGCAGAGTATAGGATGATTACTGTTAATTGCAGAGCATGGGATCATTACTGTTAATTGCAGAGCATCGGATGATTACTGTTAATTGCAGAGCATGGGATAATTACTGTTAATTGCAGAGCATCGGATGATTACTGTTGATTGCAGAACATGGGATAATTACTCCTAATTGCAGAGCATTGGATAATTACTGTTAATTGCAGAGTATAGGATTATTACTGGTAATAATCGAACCTGAGATAATTACTGCGTGAATGGTGAGCTTTTTTAATTGTGTAATTTTCAAGTCAGGAGATAATTACTGCGTGAATAGCAAGCTTTTTTTTTTTTTTTTTTTTTTTTGTGTACTTTAGTGTGTGACATAATAGCTTATGAAATAATTACTATGTGAAAAAGTACTTCTTTAGTGTGTAATATTTGTCAGCTGGCTCATTGCTAAAAAAAAATGAATGTGTGTCAGTTCTGTAAGATGAATGTGTATCAGCTCTGTTGTCATGATTAAACTATTATGCATTTCAATGTTTTATCCAACACATTGCTCAGCAATTCCATTTTTGACAGATATTTTTGGTCAGATACTATCCTGTAGGGCAGCTGTTTTCTGTGTACTCATATCTTTAATATGTTGTATAAGAATATTTACTTGGTAAATCTTCATTTGTTCATTTTTGTTTCTATTTCCAGCCTCTGTCCAGGTATTCAACTCTTGCCAAAAATTCAACAATAAGTTTGGTAAGTAAAAATATTTAATTGTGTTTATGTTAGTTGTTGTTTTTTCATATCAGCTTGCTAGTTTAGCTCACTGCATTAATAGCCTTTTTTTGTTGTTGTTGTTGTGGTACATATCTTAGAAAAACCTTTCCTTAATATTTTAATGGTAGTTCCGAACATTAGAAATGAATACTTAGCAGTGTCCAAATCAATACGTACGGGACACCTGTTCGATGCAGACCGAGTGGATTTTTTCAGATCGGAACTTTTCAGTCAACACAGACAGCATTGCTGGGGCCTGAAAGGGTCAAGTCCCCTAAGCAAGTTAGAGCCCTGTGCCTCACAAGTGATTTTATGCCAAAGTTATAATAAGACCAAAGCTTCCGGAAAACTTGTTTTGGAAGTAGATCTTTACAGAGGAAGGAAACACTCTTTTTTATTACCTTGGTCTTGAACTACAGAGAACAGGTGAGCAAACTTTCTTTATTTTCAGTAACAAATTGCTCATCTTAAATTTGGCACTTCCAACCTGGCATCTTAAATTCGTTTAGCAGTAAAAGTTTGATTACTGAACAGTAAGTGCCGACAATATGTGATGCGATAACACATGTTTTACAATACACATACATATATAAGTCCATACACACTTGTGCACACAAGGAGATTTATTATGTGAAATGAAACAAAGATGCTGATTGACAGGTTTTAAGCAACTTAAAAACTTAAACAATTATGATTATCTGTTTCAGACTTATGAAACTCATATCAACCCCCAGCGAAAAGACCAGATCATAGTCTCTGTTGTGTTTTCTAACCTCACCCAAGATACCATCAAGGATCTGGAGTTCAGCGTGCTGGATACACTTAATACAAAACTTATTCGAGGAGTATGTTTATATATTATTTTGTATTTTTTAAAACTAAATTATATAAAGTAATGTTTCTTTTCATTGCTAGTGTTATTTCAGTTTTACAATATACCATTAAAAGTTGGAAAACCACTAAAGGCATGGTTCAAAAGTTCAATGCTTTTAACAAATAATGCCTCGGGAAACTGATGAACATTGAATGGGATGAATTTAAGAAAGGTGAAAAAAAAAGATAAATGTCTAAACAACCACTGGTACCAACAGTTGTAAGTCAAAGTAGGTATGTTGGGCACATCCTTGGAGGAAGCGAGCAGAAAATCACCAGACAGGCAC